ATAGCTCCGTTGGTACTACCATACGCCGCTGAGATACGGACCTGAATTCAAATCCAAATGGAATCAGACGAATAACGTGAATTGATCCTGAATTACCTGGGCCTGGTGAGTTCGATAATCCTTTTTCTCACCCCAAAAAAAAAAAAAAAAAAAAAAAACAAACATGTCTCGCTCAATCCGCACCGGCGATCCTCGAACACCCAACCTTCCCACCCAAAAAAAAAAAAAAAAGGGAAGAAGAAGAAGAAGAAGAAGACGAACACCAATCTTCCTAGACAAAGAAGCCCGGCGGCTGGCCGACAGGCAAAGATTGTCCTCCCCTCAATACTCGGATTTTTTTTATTTTTTTTTTCCGAATTTCTTTTTCTTTTTTTTTTTATCGAATTTCTTTTTCTTTTTTTTTTTTCTAAAGCTATGTTCTTCTCTCAATTTCACCTCACGCTACCTACCTACCACTTCTCCTAATTGTAGGCTAGGCATACGGGGTACCCCGTAGCAGCCAGAACCGTGTTCGCGAGAGAACATGCGGTGGCTGCTTCCGACCTGCAGGTGGGCGTGGGCGATACCGGCTAGGGCTAGGGGACAGCTGGTAGGTAGCATCAGGGACCATGCCTGCCAACAGGATCAATCCCTGTGCCTCCCCTCAGGTGGTGGTCCCCTCTGCACGAGGATCCCCGATCTCCAGTCCAACTTTTTTTTCTTTCTTTAACTTAAGCTATATTCTTTTCTCTCAAATGCCCCTTGAAGTTCACTGCCTACCTACCTACCATTAGTCCTAAGCCTATAAGAGCTCATATCTAATTTACTCTTGCACTTTTTTTTTTTTTTTTCCCTTATTTGTCCTAAGCCTATAGAGCTCATAATATCTAATTTGAGTTAATGGAGGTTATGAACTTGAATAGAATAGATTGGCTTCATATTGCTTGAAGAAGAGTGGAGTGGTTACACAGTATGTTCCCCAGACTTGATGGCTGTAAACGAAACCGGCTAAGGCTGCCGGGATAACTCCGGGCTGAGTTGTGAGGTCCCCGGCCTCGATTTGATACTGTTCTCAATAAAAGGTAGTGTGACGTGAAAAAAAAAAAAAAAAAAAAAAAAAAAAAAAAAAAAAAAAAAAAAAAAAAAAAAAGAAAAAAAAAAAAAAAAAAAAAAAAAAATAAATTTAGCCTTGTAATTTTTTTTTTTCCCCCCCCCCCCCCCTTATTGGCGATGGCCTTCAGGTCATCATTATAGACTTGACCGGCCCTAAGGGTGTGCAATTCAGCCACGTGGGCTGGGCCTAAGCATGAAGCCGGTAATTCAGAGTTACATTACTCCATCACAAGATTCGAACCCCGGTCTGGTCTGCAATTCTACTGGGCGTGGGTTACTCCACTAGAACTCCGGTCTGGTCTGGTCTGAATTGAACTCCGGTCTGGTCTGCTTCTTATCAACGATTCTAAGGGACCCGGTGTGCAATTGAGCCACGTGGGCTGGGTTCGTGCACGGAATTCCATCATCAGAGGGGGGAGGGGGGAAAAGGGGGGAAAGGGGGGGGGGATGGCGGGGGGGGGGAATTGACCAAAACACACGTCGGACTACTAGCGAGATCCTCTCGTGCACGGAATCGGATGATTTGTTGAATAAATTAATTTTTTTAATGGGGTCCGATTGACCACTGCGTGTAATCAGAAAAGGCACTCTATTATTATTAAGAAAAAAAAAAAAGAAGGGATCGAGAAAGGTATACAATCCGTTGGTTGAGCTCCCCATCGATGATCGAATTCTGCGCACGAGACCTGCTGCAGACTGCAGTAGATGTCGTCTGTTTTTTTTTTTTTAACTCCATTGCCTGAGAGGATCTCTTAGTCCTGTCGACTAGGTCAGTAGGTTTCAGGCCTGGTAAGCGGCACCGAGTAGTAGGTGCTGGGTTCGAACTGCCGTCACTTTCCATGGCCTGAGCTAGGCAAGCCGAGGCCAGCACGGCCCTGATCGGAGCTGGGGTCTGGGGTGAGTACTAAGTAGTGACACCCTCCAACCCGTAGACATGCTCTGGGGGCTGGTCCCACTAGCAAAAAGGATTGGATTCAATTCCTGAATCGGGACGTGTTTAGCGCAGAGCTGCAGAAAAGCAGATCAATCGCAACTTTCTGCCTCTCTCCACAAACACGTTCAGATTCAGGAATTGAATACTTTCTCTGCTAATGGAACAAGGACCCTGGGGTGAGTACTAAGTAGTGCCCCCCTGTAGCTGTGCGGGAGCACGAGGCCTCCGGTATTAAATCCTATCTTCTCTGCTAACGGGACAAGGCCCCTGGGGTGAGTAGTGCCCCCCTGTATCTATGCGGGAGCACGCTAGGCCTGGCAGAGAGATCAGGGGCTAAGTAGTGCCCCCCTGTAGCTATGCGGGACCACGGTAGGCCTGGTAGAGAGATCAGGGGCTATCTTCTCTGCTAATGAGACCAGGCCCCTGGGGTGAGTAGTGCCACCCTGTAACCCGTTGCTATGCGGGAGCACGAGGTCTGGGGCTAGGTCCCACTTACACGAATGAAGCGATATTGACCGTAGATAGCAAAGATCAACGGCCAGATTCTCGTAATCCGTGCAAGTGGGACCTAGCCCCTGGTTACCCCTGGTAGAGAGATCATACCCCTGGGGTCAGTAATGCCAGCCTGTAACCCGTAGTAGCTATGCGCGAGGACAAACCTGGTAGAGAGATCATCTGTGAAAGTGGCCCCTATCGTCTTCCCGCGAACACAAGGCACCCGGATAATGAACGCACACAAGGTATGTTTCCGTCCCGATACCGTCAAAATGAGGGTGCGCTGTGCTCGGAGGAAGACGGTAGTCGTCGTCCCCAGACATGGCGCCAAGTACCTGGTCGGAGGTAGCCTGTTGGGACCCACTCACTCAAATAAATTAAATTCTAAGATTGAATTCTCGTCACTGTCATCAGTATCATCTCAGCTAACATTCACAAAAATCCATCCATGGATCGATTACAATCCTTTCAGGGTTAATCACGACCCGTCGGCTACCGTCTTCAACCCCGAATATAACGTCCGGTCAGTATAGCTGTGGATTTGTCACAACTTTCAGCCCAGATACGGCGATAATTACCGGGCGTTCTACTCGGCTGAAGACGGTAGCTCAGTAGGGTTCATGCCTGAGCGGCACCGAGTTGTAGATTTATCTCAACACTGCCGCCATTTAAACAATTAAAAAAAAATGAAAAACAATGAAAAAAAATAAAAATATAAAAAAATGAAAAAAATGGAAAAAATGGAAAAAAAAATGAAAAAATGAAAAAAAAAGAAAAAAAAAGAAAAATGAAAAAAAAGAAAAAAAAAGAAAAAAAATGAAAACAAAATGAAAACAAAATGAAAAAAAAAAGAAAAAAAAAGAAACTCAAGTTACACCATGTATTCAGGGAAGATGAAGTCGGGAAAAAACTCATAAAATTACCACCAATCAGGGTTGCCGGCGTTCGGGACGGGCCGAACACCCGAACCCGAACGCCCAAACGTTTGGGACCCCCTCTCGACGCGGAACCAAAAAAAAAAAAAAAAAAAAAAAAAAAAAAAAAGGTTTTCAAAAATTCTGAAAAAACAACTATGTCATGAAGAAGAATAAACAAACAACATTTGCCTCAACAGTACATCCAAATTCCTTACCAAATTTGAAATAAAAATCAAATACGAAAAATAAATAATATTAATGGAAAAAAAAAAAAAAAAAGGAGAATGAAATCATTGCGTGGGCGAGCAAGTTTTTGACACCGCCATCTTTGGCGATTTTTCTTTTTTTTTTGGCTTTGTCAAATGCCATGAAATTTGATAAATATGTTCCTTACATAATATAGAACCTACAAATAAAGTTTGAAAAAATAATAATTTTTTTCAGGCCCCGAAATAAAGGGAAAACAAAAAATGAAAAGAGAAAAAAAAACAAATTAGTAAGTGGGAAAGCAAGTTTTGACACCACCATCTTTGCCGATTTTTCATTATTTGTTGGCTGCACAGAATGACTTCAAAATTGACAGACAGGTAGCTTACATCACAGAGAACTCACAAAAAAAAAATCAGAGAAAAATAATACTTTTTTAGGTACCAGAATGTTTTTTTGCAGGGTCCGAACCCCTTCGAGTTCGGGCCCCGTACGGGGACCCGAACGCCCGAACATTGGGGGGTCAGCTTAGGGGCCTCCGTACGTTCGGCCTGGCAACCCTGCCACCAATAATCTACCATCGTAGATTATTGGGCGGCAAAAATCTACGATGATCGTGGATTATTGGTCGTCTGTTATGAGTTTTTTTTTCCCGACTTCAATTTATACGATCGTGACATATCATCCATATAAAGACCAATTGGCGTCTGGAGAAAAACTCTTAAATACCAAGAAAAAAAAAATCAGAAAACTCTTAATACCGGTCATAACAGACGACCAATAATCAAACGATCATAACATATCATGTACAATAATTTAAAAGATCAATAATAATGATCTCATCTTGAATTACCAACCCGCGCGCCGTCACCTGTGGATATATCTCTAGACTGTCTCGTCGCAGTTTCACCGACTCCTCAGGAGATTGAACGTTCTCTCTCTCTCTCTCTCTCTCTCTCTCTCTCTCTCTCTCTCTCACACACACACACACACACACACACACATTTCGTGTCCTCTTCTTCTCCCTCTCTGCCTACGGTCTATACCGGGCAGTTCTGTTCGACGATATATATTATATAGAAACAGTCTGTGATAGCCCCTCGTTTGTTGTCCACTTCACCCTCTCTGCCTACCGTTTACCGGGCAGTTCTGTTTGACGACATATCCTCACACAGGTATACGACGAAAGGGCCATCTGTTAAAATTGGAACGATACAGAGAAGATTAGCATGGCACCAAAAAAAAAAAAAAAAAAAAAAAGAGAGAGATGAAGAAACGCAGAGGAGAGGTGCAGCCCCACTGCCAACCCACAAGCGAATCCAACAATTAGTGGTATTGCTTTTGCTCCTGCTTACCAAATCCGACAAGTACACCGGCGAGAGCATAGTGACCCCACTTCTCTCCGTCTTTGAAATTCTCAAACTGGACCAGACCTGTCCAGAAGGCGACTGCCCCTGTCCCGATCATGCCGATGAGAAAGATGCCCCTCCAGACGTAGTCTTCATCAAGGTTGATGAACGAGGAGACAATCCCCGAGATACCCGTCACTTTGCCGTTATATGCTGCCAAGTAGTACACGCATATCCCCAAAAGTATCCCGCCAATGAGCGACTCTACGGGCGTGAAAGCCCCTCCCAGATCCAACACCGCCATCGTGACACTGTCGACTCACCACTCCACTCCACTCCACTCCACAGTGTCACACCACTCCACTCTTCCCCCTCCAGTCAATTTCTATTTCAGTCCAAGGTTCAACCCACTTCATCAACTGCAATCACCACATTCTCCCTCTATCTCCCTCCTCTTCCTCCTGCCGCGTTTCAGATCTCCGCTTCTGCCGGGTAACTGAATGATCTGAATCTACCCACGTTTTACAGTAAGTCCTCTCTCTCTCTCTCTCTCTCTCTCTCTCTCTCTCTCTCTCTCTCTCTCTCTCTGTGTGTGTGTGTGTGTGTGTGTGTGTGTGTGTGTGTGTGTGTGTGTGTGTGTGTGATCTATCTATCTCACCGTCCCTCCTCCCCCTCACTCACGATTCATCATACATACAATGTTTCATACTGCACAACAACAGCTACCTACACCCAGATACCCAGAGGCGCACACACCTAAAGATGACACAACCCTTCTGAATCTTCCTTGTTACGTTACCAGCGCCATGCGCTTGCCGTCCTCCCAAACCGACTCGCTATTGAGAAGGTCTGCAGAGTGCCCAGGTTCTCCCTCCCACCTGCCCTTGTGATCTCTCCCCTGCCATACACTCGCTCACCGTTCCCGAACATTCAGCCATCGCGCCTACCCCTATCGCTTTTGCCGCTCGAAATCAAAGACCAGCCTTCGTTAATGCCGGCTTCTCTCGGCCCCCGGAAAGCCAGCCTACCGCCATCCAGGCGTTCAAATGTGGTGCCACCTCACACCTACCCTCAGCCCACTCAGCCCCACTGCCCCGCTTCCCCCGAACACGACGTGCCCTCAGCATGTGACTGTGGGCCTCGCCACATCACTCTCGACATGTGGAAAAGACAAGAAAGTGGCGGGTGCATCCGGCCATGTTCTAGGGGGAAGTTCATTTTCATTTTGCACATTTCGAGAGTGTCTTGTGTCACACTGACAATGATGATAGCGGTAAGTTACGTTCGAGTGATGATAGTGGTCTGTTATGTTCGAGGGAAGCCGGGTGGGTTTTGTCCTCATGCGTGTGTGACGTTGTGGGTGACATAAGGCGGGTTCTTATGTTCGAGGGAAGCCGGGTGGGTTTTGTCCTCATGCCTGTGTGACGTTGTGGGTGACATAGGGCCTCGCCAAAACGAACGGGTGCTTTAGGGCCTAGTTGCACTACCGCCATAGGCCAAGTTTGGCGAGTAGGCGCCTGGTTGCACTTACTCGCCAAACTTGGCCAATTCGCAGCCAAAGGCTGCGCCTTACCTGGTTCCGTTTTTTGTCGTCTTTGGTCTGTTAAGCGGGGTTTAGAGGGCGTCGAGAGGTGCGTGGGAAGGGTGCGGTCGGGGAGGTGAAAACGGCCGGTAGGCCGAGCGGTCGTCTCAGAGCTTAGAGGCTCAGCGACCGCGGCAGGTTGGGAAGGTCGCTCTTGTAAGGTAGGCCGCCATCGTGAAACGAAGAAAATGCAAAATGAGACTGAATCCACTGCTAGAACATGGAAAGATACATTGCCATCTCTTTTTTCTTTTTTGTGTTTTCCTTTCTGGAAGAGTCTAAATGCATGTGCAGCGGAACAAAAAAAAGTAAATAACGGCGGCGTATGGGCTTCGCCACACAGCCTGTCGAAACGCGAAAACGACAAAAATGTGGCAGGTGCATCTGGCCATGTTGTAGCAGGAAGTTCATTCTCGTTTTGCACATTTCGACAGCCTGTGTGGTGAGGCCCTATAACTCTCGTTTTGCACTTTTTTTTTTTTTTTTCCCTTTTCAATTTCTATTTACTTTTCAGTACCTACTTCCACGACTATCTAGAGGGGGCCCCAGTAGTGGAGCGAGCATTAGGGGAGGGAAAAAAAAAGTAGTGGAGCGAGGCTCGACGGAGGGCTTTGTTGCTCGTCGAGTCGTCGGGTTGGCCGCACCGCAGAGGCTTTCGTCGACGATCGAGGATTCCGTGTCGCAGTATGACCCCTCCAGTGTCGCCTCTGTATTGGACTGCAGCAGAGTAAAAAAAAAAAAAAAAAAGGTTCTTTTCCTGGATCTTTTCTTGGATCGATTTCGGTTTCGGCGATCGTCAGCGATCGGAGATTCTCAGTGCACCTCTTGCCCACCTCCGTTCACACCCCTCCTCTGTTTTCTCCCCCCCCCTTTCCGTACACCCC